GTTTGTTTGTGTTTTCGTTCGAATTGGCATTAATCGGTAAATGTGTTCGTATTTCGGAAAAAAACCCAAAGTTATTTTTTGTTTTTTGGAACCAAACACGTTTATCTTTGTGTATAAGTATGGGAGTGGGTGTGTAAAACTTGGGACCGTGTCAAGCATAAGCGATGAATAGGAGCGAAAATACACGATAAATTTCATGACCAAAATAAAGAAAATAAAATATCGGATGGAAAAGATCATTTTTTCATAAAAAACATGCATAATTTAAGGCGTTCAAAAAGTAAGAGAGTAATAAATCAGCAAAAATTTAAATACAATAAGTTCCTACTTACTTCCTCAAAAGCCAATTTTAAGTGCGTAGTTTTATGCTTATATTGATCGGACTATAAATTCAATTCTGCAACAATATTTCAACAGATCTGCGGACATTCATACATCACAAAAAACTTCTGCAATCCGAAAGTCCAATGTTGAATTATTTGAATATATTTTGACCTGATGGTAACAAAGCGAATGATTGTTAATAAAAATTTTAACCGGTTGTTGGGGAGCCCAATATATCCCATAAAGCATGTTTTTGGATCAAATAATAATCTATATTCATAACACTTTCAAAAACTCGAAAACAAAAAATTACAATCTGGCAACCACTTATGGCCTTATGCCGAGTTGTCAAGAGAAGTTTTTGATATAAACATATATATGAAAGTTATACCTATATAGAAATCGATTTGGGCAAAATATGTCACACTTTAATCTTCCAGGATTTTATAATATGATCCAAGACTAAATCTAACAGTAATTTTACATGCAAATAGGTTAACAAAAATTTACAAAAAATTACATGGAAATATCTATGGGAGCTATGGGAGCAGATTTATGAACCGATTTCGACATAATTTGTCAAAAATATTTTTAAACTATATCTGATACCTCGTACCAAATATACAATATTGTTATATAGTGCATATTATGTCTTTGAGGGACTTAAGTTTCAAATTGCATGAAATTTGTGTGTGGACGCTATATCTATATTCTTGCAGATTCGAAACAAATTTTTGCATTTCGGTTCAGATATAGCTATAGCTCCCATATATTTTATCCGATTTGGCATTTAAAGTCCCTCACAAGCGTAATATGCATTACACAACAATGATCTTTGGTACCAAATATCAGATACAGCTCCGAAATAAGTGTATCGAGTTTAGTCAAGATCGGTTCAGATTTGGATGTAGCTCCCATATATATCCTCAACCGATTTCAGGTAAATTGTGCATCAAACGGTCAATATCAGTCCGAATGACCTGAATTTTGGCATATCCCACCGAATTCAGACTAGAAGCAAGTACATTAATCGGAGAAATTCGATTTAGATATAGCTATAGCTTCCATATATATGTAACATCTGATTTGGCGTTTAAGTCCCTCATATTCGTATTATTCATTCGACAACAACCAGTTATCAGATACAGCCCAGAAATACCTTTGCCAAATTTGATTAAGATCGGCTCAGACTTGGATATCGGTCCCATATATATCCTCAACCGATTTTGGGTTGATTGTGCACGAAATGGCCAATATCAGCCCGAATGACCTGAATTTTGACATATCCGACCGAATTCAGACTACATTCTTTTCGGCGAAAATCGGTTCAGTTATAAATACAGATCCCATATACATGTTTAATCTGATTTGGTGTTTAAGTCCCTTACATTCGTAATATGCATTCGACAGCAATGATGTTTCGTACCAGATATCTTATAAAGCTCGGAAATACCTTTGCTAAATTTCACCAAGAACGGTAAAGATTTGGATATATCTCTTAAGAAAATGGGTAAAAATGTTTCGCACCAATGTCGTTTTCTTTTTGTAAGGCATAAAAACGTTTTTTTTTTTGGAAATTTCCAAACAAAACTACATATTTACGTCGTACCAACTTTTCAGCTGCACCACTTTGATAACACTTTATTTATATTCAGCTCCATCTATTCACCCAAATTTAGTACCATTTAGTACTTTTCGTGCACATAAGTACAAATTTCTGCAACTACCTACACTCCGCCAGTAGTGTTAATTATGCTTATCACTGAAATCAATTTTAGGCCTTGATGGCAGAGGCAGCACTGTTTCGTCGCTTTAACCATCAATCATATTCGTGTGTACTGTACAAACAGATAGTAACATATCTGTTTAATTGTTATTAATTGTTGCCTGAAAGTATGCTATATTTAATGTTGTTATAATGGCAAAACAAAAGTAAAATATGAATTGGATTGGTTTGCAATTTGTAGACAAGTGGCATTATATGAAAGGCCTTACTGTTATCACAGGCCATAATTTGTTGGGACCATAACTCGTTCCACGACTTGTTCATGAGACTAGTAAAGGAAAGGCAAAAGACGATGATACCCTACACCACTATGCATATTTAGTAGAGCTCCCGTAACAAAATAATTTATTTCAAGTAGCTCATACCATATATCAACATTTGGCTTTAGAGCAGTTATAGTTTAATATAGGGTGCATTATATCATTTGAAGGAGGATTATATTAAAAAAAATATGCATCGGAGTACGTCCCGAAATTCACTCCATTTGGGCTGATATTAGCCATTATTTGCACAATAAACCTGAAATCAGATTAAGGATATATAATACGAGATATATTTCCAAATCTTTGCCGTTCTCGATAAAATTTGGCAATGGTATTTCCTAGCTTTATAAGATATTTGGTACCAAATATCATTGTTGTCGAATGCATATTACGGATGTGAGGGACTTAAACACCAAATCGAATGAAACATATATATGGGAGCTATAGCTATAACTGAACCGAATTTAATGTACTTGCTTCCAGTCTGAATTTGGTCGGATATGCCAAAATTCAGGTCATTTGGACTGATATTGGCCATTTGGTGCACAATCAACCCGAAATCGGTTGAGGATATATATGTGACCTATATACACTTACGAACATCAAATACCAAATTTGAAAGAATCCCGGTGAATAATTTCACTAAAATCAACAAAGTACCGAATATCGGGAGGTACCGTTATATGGGGGCTATACGAAGACGTGAACCTGCACAGACAATTTTCTGTCTTATGCTGTAGTATCCATTACAAACTTCAAATACCAGATTTGAAACAATTCCCTGTAAAAATGTCCCTATAATTATTAAATTGCCGAATATCGGGAGGTACCGTTATATAGGGGCTACACGAAGACGTTGACCTGCACAGACAATTTTCTGTCTTAGGCTGTAGTATCTTTAAATACCAAATTTGAAACAACTTCGGTGAATAAATTCGGTAAAATCATCAAAATACCGAATATCGGGAGGTACTGTTTTATGGGGGCTATACCAAAACGTGGACCTACATGTCTCATTTTCAATACCAAAAGGAATTTTCCCATAAAAACTTTTAATTGTTATGTGGAGCTCTACTAAATTAGCAAAGTAAAAAACAAGTTAAAAAGTATCAGTCGGTATTGCCGACAGATATATACCCTCAGCCTGTGTTCGGTTATTTAAATATAATTTGACTAGTGTTACAATTATTCACACGTTTGACCCTCTATGGAGCAGGTTCCGAAGGAATGCGCCAATATTGTCCATTTCGTATCGGACCCAAAAATATGATATAAATATTCTGACGTTCCTGGTATGGATTATATCGACTCACTCCTTCACTTTATGAGATATGTAATAATTTTTAGAAAGTGTTAAAATGTGCGTGATTTACAAAATAGAGTCTAACGAAATATTCCACTTTTATACTTCATCTGATACAAATAAAAAATATTGAGCGAAATATTGGGCAAAATTACAAGAAAGAATATTAATGTCCAATTTTATGCGAAATCATAAATACCGATAAATTTCATATTCATATCAGACTTCTTATTGAGAGAAATATTTGAGAATAGCAAGTAGTAAAGTATTGCTAAATTGTTTCGAAAGTTATAACAGATATAATTATTGAAAATTGTAACCCCAGAAGGGGTTGGCATATATATCAACTTCACAACAGATCTTGTGTTAGCAAAAATATTTGTTGTATGTGAAATTTTAAGAGAGTTGGATATTTATTTCGCTTTATTTCAGTGTTTTGTTTTTCAAAATCTTGAACCCTATGTATAGGGGAGAAGAATTAGTTCAATCTATACCACCTTTATAGCAGATCTTGTGTTGATAGAAATATTGAGATGTGCCAAGTCTAAATGGAATCGAATGTTAATTTGGCGTTTTATGAGCTTCATGGGTATTCAAAATTTCGACACTTTGTGGGGGAGGTACCAGAAGGAGTGGACCTATAAATCCCATGTTATCACCAGATCTTGGGTTCATAAAAATAGTAGGATGTGTAAAATTTGAAGACAATCGGACTCTTACATTACATTTTATAAGGGTTGTAATTATTTAAAATTTGGACCCTTTGTGGGGGAGGTACTTGATGGGGTGGACCGATATTGTCCATTTTCGAACCTGACCTAACACTGACGTAAATATTAGGGCTTACAAAGGTGGAGCAAAATAGGATTATCCTTTCTCTTTCTGTGCCAGAAATATTTTTTTGATTATATTTTGAAAATTTCGACCTTTTGTAGGGGAGGTACCAGAAAGAGTGGACCGATATTGCCCATCTACGAACTCGATCTAAGTTTGACAAAAACATTACGATGTACAAAGTTTGGACCAAATCGGATACTTCCTTCGAGAGTTATCGTGCGCACCAGCCAGACAGACGGTCGGACATCGCTAGATCGACTCCAAATGTTCTGAAACGGACTTGGTCCAAAGAGGCCTAGGGTGTAAAACCGTTATTTCGTTATTTCTCTGTAGCCATATCGCTGAGGGTATAAAAACAACAATTACCCAAAAAAAAAACTCCACCACAATCGACAACCCTATAAGAGATAAGGAATAAACATTCGGTAGAGTACAGAGATGGCTAAAGGCGATTGCAGTAATATTTACTAAGGCCTAATTGACATACCCATGCTTTAACAGGTTTAGTAAGGCACTGCCCAACATTGTAGTGGTTTTATTGGATTAAACCAGTGGCTGCTCCAGTCGTGGGACGGACAACTCAGTTGTTGTTGACAAAGGTTAACGCTTCGCTCCCGATGTTTATTATATTTCCCGGCTGGTGGTTGAAATCTTCATCACACACTCACAGCTCGCTGATTGCAAGGCCTATTCTGTTATTGTTGGGAAATCTTTTGTTTTTCTTCACGGTCGGTCGTTTGTTTTCGTTGATCCCTTCTGCGGTCAATGTCTGTCGTTTGTTTTGATTGTTTTCGGGGTATGCACTTTTTATTACTTTGACACTTCTTTCTGCGGCGTAATGCAAATTGAGTTTGCGATCTGATCGGTAACAAGCAACAGTTGCTACTGAAAATGTTTGGTCTGTAACAACATTTCTTATTTGCAGTTGATTTCATTGTGCATTGCTTCGCCTATACAATCTACACTGTACGTCTGTCGTCTATATGCAGTGGATCACATCCACAGCTACTCGCAGTATATTCGAATGTAGATATGTGTGTGTGCATACAGTGAGTGAGTGCTCATTTATGTTTTCGAATTTCGCTTTTATTTTGTTTTGGCTAATTTCGATTTTTTGTTGTTGTTGGCGATAAGACAAGCCCCCCTTTTCTTCGACCAGACACACAACAGTGTGTCTTTCGCCCATATTGATTTTTGAGAATGCCCAATCTATAGAAGCTATACAAGTTAGCAGCGTGAGAGACCAAAATCCAATAAGATTAAAGATCAAAAATACATTCCACGACCGACGATCATGATGAGTTTTAATAAAAAGTTCTAAATTTGAATTTCATTTCTTCCAAACAATATGCCTTTGTCTCTCCGCCCGCTTCATATGCGATATAAACTGACCTTTCTCCACTCAACAAACAATACAATAAAATATCGATGACATATATATGCGTGCGTGTGTCTGCATTTGTGTTTATTTAAAAATAGAGAATTCTTCGTCCTATTCACCAGAAGTATTTTATGTTTTTTTTTGTTTTGTGGTGTTGACTTCAATTAAAAACATGTTACGTTTAGACTTCTTTGATAACATTTTAACCCATTTTCTACTGTTGTATCGTTTTAGAGACTCCAACTTTTATGATGGTTGTTCGTTAACTTTACGGTAACATTTAGTTAGTAAGAAGTTACTGAGAACAAATAGGATTTTTCTTTTTTCCAAACTTGGCGCGAATTTTGGGAGCAAAAATACTTTGATGCAGTTTAGTTGTTATTACATTTTCATTACAAAACCAGTAAAGAAGGCCTTAAAGTCGGGCGGGCCGACTTTATGATACTCTACACCAATTTACATATTTATTAGAACTTCACATAAAAAAAACAGTTTTTATGGGTAATTTGTGAGAATTAATTTATACCAACTATGAGTATAGTTATAATTTAAAGTACAAAGGATTAAATTTGCTGAGGCATTTGTATCTTTTCAATTCGGGCTTGTATTACCCATTTGGGGCATATTTAACTTAAAATCAGATGAATATATTTATGGGAGCTATATCCAAATCTGAATCGTTCTCGATACAATTTGGCAAAGGCATTTCCAAACTGAATTTGATATATTTCCCTCAATATGGTTGTTACGGAGTGCATATTACGGCTGTGGAGGACAAATATAACAAATCGGATGAACAATATATACGGGAGCTATAGCTATATCTGAACCAATTTCGATCAAATTTGTATGTGCAAAATTCCAAAATATTACACGTTTGGTGCACAATAAAAGACACATCGGACGAATGTATATATGGGAGCTATATCTAAATTTTGACCGATTATCTCCAATTATAGATTATCTATAGGGTTCGTTCATCGGTCCAACAAATGATTTGTGCAAAATTTCATCTCGATCGGGTAAAAAATGCGACCTGTACTTTGTTTACAAAAATACATAGACAGACGGACGGACATGCATAAATCGACCCAGAATGTGAATCTATGCAGATCATCAAAAGAAACTATGGGCCTATCTCGTTTCCTTTTGCCTGTTACAAACAATTGCACAAAGACATAATACCCTGACCACCTTATGGTGTAGGGTATTAAAAAAATTTATAATATCCAACATAAACCGTTTCCATACATACATATACCGCCTGCAACAAATACCTATTATTCCTGTATTCCAATTGAGCTGGATTTGACACCTAAAAAAACAAAATAGAGGATCTTCATAGAATCACTTTCTGAGTCGATTTACGCATGTCAGTCCGTCAGTCCGTCTGTCCATGTATTTTTGTGAACAAATGCAGGTCGCATTCATTATTCGATTGAGATGAAATTTTCCAAGCAATATTTGTTTGGCACAAGAACGAGCCCTATTGAAATTGGTGAGAATTGGTGCAAATTTAGATATAGCTCTCATATATATATCTTCAACCGACTTCGGGTAAATTGTGCACCAAATGGTTAATATCGGTCTAAATGATCTGAATTTTGGCAAATCCGATTTCAGTCTAGAAGCAAGTACATCAAATTTGGTGAAAATCAGATAAAGCCATATCTCCCATATATATAAGGTGGCGTAAAAGTAATTCTCCTATCAGAAAATGCTATAAATTTCACGATTGGCTCCTTATGTCTTAATTACAGCTCTTTCGCTCTTTTGGGTAAACGAACAGCTCCCAGTATATATTTATATACAAATTATCGAGTAAACGAACACTCCTAATATATAATGTTTCAATACTGCATCACTCGGATGCTGGCTGATATTTTGGAGAAAAGGTTTTTAAAAATATCGGGTATGTAGATATGATCAGGTTATGTCGTCTCAGAAAGAAAGAGTATGATGCTACATCCACCTTCCTTTGTGAATAGAAGACACAAGGTGAAAATGTTTATTGTTCATTTTATATATTTCAACATTGAATTGCAAATTTTGTAATGTTTTTTTTTTTAATTTTTATTGGATTTTTGTTATTAGGATCTAGCATTCCAATACCAGAACCCACAATAAACAGTTTTTAAAGGACGTGTCTACCCATTTATTTTTATACCCTCCACCATACTATAGAGGGTATATTAATTTTGTCATTCCGTTTGTAACTCCTCGAAATACTCATGTCAGACCCAACAAAGTATATATATTCTTGATCAGCGTAAAATTCTAAGACGATTTAGCCATGTCCGTCTGTCTGTCTGTTGTAATCACGCTATCTTTCGAACAAATTGAGATAGAAGGCTAAAATTTTGCACACATGTATATTTTGCCAGTAGGCAGGTTAAGTTCGTAAATGGGCCATGTAGATCTAGGTTATCATATAGCCCTCATATAACGGTACCTCCCGATATTCGGTATTTTGATGATTTTAGCGACATTATTCACCGGAATTGTTTCAAATTTGGCATTTGAAGTTCGTAATGGATACTACAGCCTAAGACAGAAAAAAATCTGTGTAGGTCCACGTCTTCGTATAGCCCCCATATAACGGTACCCCCTATATTCGGTGTTTTGATGATTTTAGCTACTTTATAAACAGATTTTTCTTCAAGTTTCGCATTAAAATATTGTAATAACTTATGACAAAAGTTGCCTATGCAGGTCCACGTCGTCGTATAGGCATTCGGTATTTTAAAGATTTTAACAGAATTTTTAACGGATTTTATTTATTTATTTTTTTTTTTTTTGGAAATTGTCAAATTTGTACCAAATGGTGGAGGGTATTAAAAGTTCGGCCCGGCCGAACTTACAGCTTTTTTACTTGTTAAAAATATCAAATGAGGTATGAAAATTGTTTTGGTTGAAGGATTCGACTAAGGCTATTAAATCAAATAAATGGTCTGTTTTCATACCAAAAAAAAAAAAATGGTTTATACTTTCTATTTTAAATGGTATACGAAAAATTGGAAATATTACAAATATAACGCTTATCGTCTAAATTTGGTAACAAATAGATTTTGAACAAATTGAATTTCAAGTAACAAATTTAGCACGGTTTTTTTTTTTCATTTTATAATTGGTTTGGTTATGCGACACTGTTATTGAAACCAGATGCATACTGTCATATTTAAATACAAAACTGGAATCTCACTCTTCAGAAACTGGTAACCCCTTTTTATATGTGACTCAACTTATTTCAATGTTGTCGTTGTTTTTTTTCTTTTGGCGTAATATTTATAAGAGAAGTTGCAATTTTTCAATATTATTTGATGAAAACTATGTCAACTCCTCTTCAGAAGATTGATTTTTTATTGTCGTAATGCCAGAGAAATGAATGATTTGAGGGAATTAACAACGAGAGCGTTATCTCCAAACACTCGCTACAATAGAGGCCATTCGACTCTTTCAATGCGATGAATAACAAAAAACAAAGTGTAAAAATACATATTATAAATAAATAAGGATGCGATTATTTATTTCTTATTTTCAATACAACATTGAGAATGTAAACAACAGACTGACTGACATATTCTACAACGGAATTTTTTAGGACAAAAATCCATATCTATATATGTATACATATAAAAGAGTAGTGAATTAACTGACTGACTGATGGAACGGAACGGAACGGAAGATAGAATCTTGAAATTTTGCTCAAGGGACAGTTTTGGTGCGCAGGCGTGTCATAAGACTGGTTTTTTATAAATTCGTACTAAAAAGGGGTAAAATGTACTAAATATTGAATACTTTGTATTGAACAAATGGAAAATGAGGTCGAATTCTAAAATTTGGAATAAGAGTTACTGATGGAATGCAGGATAGATGTACAAAACGCTTTTTGGAAATTCGAACTTTAAGGTTACGAAAAGTTCTAAAATGATACTAGACTTCTAAAATGGTACCATTTGTAAACGGTTAGAGCATTTGTAAAAGGTTAGAGCTTCATAAATTCGATATATGAAGTTGGTTCTTTGGGTGTTTTTGCAAATGGGTTCCAACTGTACTAAATGGCAGTAAATTTGGAACAGTTTGGTTTAGGAGGAATGGATGAAGCTGAAATTCAGGAATTCTGTATTGGTGGTAGGTTTGTGATAAAGAGGTGGTTTTTGAATTGTGTGCTACAATTGCACAAAATAGTACTATATTTGGAACAATTTGGAAACGCGTGAATAGATAGTGCTTGAAATATGAAATTTTGTATTAGGGTCGCTGTTCATGTGTAGCCTGGACGTGATTTCGGAAATGTGTACTACATTACTGCTAAATGTTGTATTGGGTAAAGGGATAGGGCTGGAGTCCTCAAATTTGATATTGAGGACTGCAAATTTGATATTGAGGACTGATATTAAGATATGGAGGTGGTTTTTGAAAATGCGTACTATATTTGTTCGAAAAGTACTACTAAATTTGGTATTGGGCGAAGGATTAGAGCTGAAATTTAGTACAGATGTCACTGTAGGTGTCTGTGGTGTTGAGATAGAGATGGAATTCT